GCTTCATTGCTGTTTTTCCCTCATTTCCCCATATTGGTGATGAATGTGGTCCCAATCAGGGTGTGTATTCCCATTGAGTCTTGGAAGGAGGTTTACACCTAGAGGGGACCCTGACCACTTGCTTTGATGTCTCCTGGGCAAGCAACTTGCTTGTTCTTCTAATAATCAGTTGGGCTGTCTATATTATTTTATATTTTTCCTGTCGGTCTTTCTTTCAAGAAGTATATTCTGTTCTTCTAGCCACTTCAGGCTGGTCTGCTTGTCCTTTCAACTGGAAATTTCCCACCTCAGAAGAGTCTGGATGCGGTTCAGGATTCCACTATGGTCATAATGTTTTAATATTCAGTATTCTAGCTATACCTGACATTCTTCTACTGCTACTCATAATGTTTTCAGTGGTTCAACATTCGGAAGTAGTCCTTCTCTCTTTCTTCCTAGGCTAAGTCTGGAAGCTCAGCTGTAACCTGTTTGTCAGTAGCAATGCTTCCAGCATTGCAGCCACATGCAAGCCACCAGTGTGCAACAGACTGACAGACAATTGATGGACAAAAGCCTAAATGATCTGGTAATATCTCAGACTTTATCTCCCTCCCAAATTATATGTCCCACACTGACTTCATTTCTAATCCTGACATCTTTTCTGTTCCTCAATCACTCATTACCTCCTAACTTTGAGCCCTTGTACTTGCTCTTCCCTCTGCCAAGAACGTTGTTCTCCCAATTATCACCATTCTCCCTCCTCAAGTCTTCACTCAAATGTCACCCACTTGTAGGTACTTACCCTGAAGAAATGCTACCCTTTTAAGCAAATATGTTTAATGAAAACTTGTAATAGCAAACTACAAGAAGTAATCTAAGCACATCAATAAGAAAATACATAATTACAGTACACATTATTACTGTCAAATACTATGCAGCAGTTACAAAAATTTGCAATGATATGAAAATGTCTTCGAAGCATACTGTTACATGGGGAGAAACATCCAGACATTTAGCAAGTGTCAAAAAAGCAAAAACAAAGAAAAGTCTCAGTGTGTGTGTGTGTGTAAATACATATAAATAATTTTTTTTAATCAGAAAGACTATGCATCAAATGCTGTTTACTACCTTCAGAAAGACTGGGAGATCAAAAAGTCATTTTCTCTATATATAATTCTATACTGTTCAAAGCGTTTTTAAAACCAAAATATGGACAATGGCCATGAATCAAACTGTATGAGAAACAGGGACACAAACTAGTTTGAAGTTTACACCATTTATAAGCAAAGTTAAGGCAAGAATGCCAACAAATTTTAATGTGTGGTGCTATAGGATAAGTGCAGGACTGCAAGGTCAGCTTGAACCACAAGGTCGGATGTTCAAATTCATCAGCCACTCCTTGAAAAACCCTATACTGGGTCGCTATAAGTTGAAAATGACTCCACAACACATAATAAAAACAACAACAATGTATAATCAACCTTAGGGTAGAACAGTATCAATTCAAGTAACGTCAAGTTACTCAGGCAGTAAAATGTCAATCATATTCCTATGCAGCTCAATTATGGTACAACATAAGCATTAACTGGAAAACTACAGAGTAAACTTTACCTTTCTTGAAGTATAGATGTCAAAAAATGGCTTATTTCTGACACTAAATGGTTCTTGTGTTTTGTCAATGAGACCAGTCTTCATTTTCTCATGTCGAGGATTTATTATTTCTCGTTCTATACACTGCAGACGAATATTAAAGTCACAATCTCCAACCGGCTGCGCCTGAATTAAATGAGACAATAGTGGATCATTCTTTCTTAATAAAAAGTAGGTAAAATATGTTAAGGTCTCACAAATCTTGATGGTCAGTATTTCTTATATTAGTCTCTCTACTTTTGTATACACTTAAATTTTCCTATCTATAAAAAAAAATTAGAAATCTGTTATCAAAGACAATGAAGCGACCCTGCACTGAACATACATTAAAGTAGAAGCTCAAATATAGAAGTAGAAGAGACAGCACTCTCACATTCACAAACAAATCCCCTCCTATCCCTTCTTTTGCCTCAACAGTCCAAGAATTTTAGTCTAAGATCTGTGATTACAGTAAGCCAGTTCTGGGAAGCATTCTTTTAGAGGAATATAGTAGTCATAAACAAACAGAATAAAATGATCTTTTCTCTCCTTGAGGTTCTTAAGTTTGAAGCTTTATGCTTCAAATATAGAACTTCAGTCCAAACGATGAGAAGGTTTACTGGGGGACGGGGATCCCTTTAAGTAGCCTGGACTAAGACAATCCTGAATCATTTTATTACAGCAATTTGTTAAAATATATTCCAAAAAATAACTTCATAAAAATTTTCTTAAAAGTCTTCAACTCTTAAAAATTTTTTTAAAAACTTAATTATAGAATTGTCAATGCTTTCAACCTGACTTGAATACTAAATGATTATGCAATTTGAATAATATACATCTAGGGGAATGATTATACCTTTTCATAGATGGACACTATTGAAAATGCTTCTTGTATTTATAGAAGTAATCTTGTACTGCCTAAATAATTCAGATTGACATGCCAAAATTAAGCATCAAAAGGCAAACAAATTCTTGCCTAGTATAAACTATAGGAAACAGGTGAAAAATATAAATATAAATCCTATTTCACGCTCTATAATCCTATACTATTTAATCTTGATATTTACTTACAATGGAGAGTTTTGGATTTTTACCTTCTTTCCTGCTTGTATTCACACTTTCAGTTTCAAGTTACAAATGCAACAATTAATGATCACTTTCTCTTTTTGAAGTGACAGACTAGCAAAATTTGGTGTGGTTTTTTTTTTTTTTTTCATTTAAATCAAGTACAGAACAAAACCAAGAAAAGTTTAATTTTACAAAATGCAGTTTTATTTTATCAGAGTTTCGCTGGTTTTTTTAATTACCGGAAGGTAAGTAAAGAATTGTATAAAACATTAGGCAAATGAGAGAAAGAAAAGGAGATTTTTTAATATTATCAAGAAGATGGCAACAACATTATATATCAGCATAGAACATTGCTCCATAGGGCTTTCAAATAGTTAATGTTTTTTAAAAAGTAGATTCTCAGGCCAATTGTTTGAGACACCTCGGGTAGACTAGAACCTCCAACCTTTTGGTTGATTGGTTAGTAAGTGCTGTTGAATTGCTTCTGACTCACAGTGACCCTGTAACGTGTCTCAAAGGAGCAGTTGGTGGGTGCTTCTCCTACAGCACCACATCAAGAATCCAAATCTTTTGTTTAGCAGCTAAGTATGCTAAAGGTTACACCACTGAGAGTCCAAGGTACCAAGAATCAACTGTTTGGCAGGTGTTTTTTCACTGGTTTAATACAACACTAACAATTGTGTAACCTGACAGTCACAATTTTTCTTTCCTACTATTTCTAACAAAAACAACTCTGCTGGTGTAGTGGGTTATGAGTTAGACTGCTACCCACAAGATCAGTAGTTCAGATCCACCAGCTAACTGCTCCTCGGGAGAAAGATCCCATAAAGATTTAGTCTCAGAAACCCTATACGGGGTTGCTATGAGTAGAAACCGACTCAACAACATACAACTACCACCATCATTATCTCAACAAGGTAACAAGTACTTTTCTATGGGCAATCTCTTCCATAACAGTTTTTAAATCATATTACAACATCACGAAAAACAAATGGCATTGTTGTTCCTAATTTATATAGGATAAAATCACATATGTTAAGTTTCTGGTGAAAAAGCATAGATACCCTAACATAATCTGAACTTTTAGAAATTAAAAGAAAATTATAGGTTGCTTTCTTTGTCAAAACAAATTTTTTAAATGTTTCAATCAAGGTTGTTAGATTTCTCAATATACAGTAAGCATAGCTTTTTCCCCCCATTTCCTCTATCAATATTCTTAGAACAATTTAAAAACTGAAAGTATTTTATAATTATAAAAAGTACTTACATTGAATTTAATTATATCATATATCAAATATCGAGGAACAGCCTGTCCATTTACTTTGTCAATAATCATTTCCTTGAAAGAAAAAAAATATATATATATATAAATTTTTTCATACATTAATAGCAATTTATTTAATTTTATTGACATAGAAAATACATACAAAGAAAGCATTACATATTACTTGATAAAATTTTACAAAGTGAATATACTTGTACCCAGATCACATCAATAGAATGTCAGCTGCCCAAAAGGTTTAATCATGCATTTATTCTGCACTGAAATAAAATGACAGTAATTCCTCATTACACTATTTTACATTTGACTATGTTACATTTTGTTTTATGTTTTAATTTTTAAGCTACTATTTGGTAAAACCAAATGGCCACCACTCGTCTGTCAGTTTGTCTTACTGTGGTTGCCTGTGAGTTGCTGTGATTCTGAAAACTATGCCACTGGTATTTTAAATACCGGCAGGGTCATACGTGGTGGTGGACAGGTTTCAGATGAGCTTCCTCACAAAAACAGACTAGGAAAAAAGAATGATGAACTACTTCCAAATAATTAGTCACTGAAAACCTTCTGAATAGCAGAGAAACACTGTCAAATATAGTGCTGGAAAATGAGTCCCTCAAGTTGGAAGGCAATCAAAACGCAACTGGGGAAGAGCTGCCACCTCAAAGTAGAGTTGACTGTGATAACGCCAGAGGGAGAAAAGCCCATGGAACCTTCATTTGCTGATGGGGCACAACTCAAAATGAAGAGAAACAGCTGTAAACAGCCATTGAAAATCAGAATATGGAATGTACTAAGCATGAATCTGCGAAAATTGGAAGTTGTCAAAAATGAAATGGAATGCATATACATTGATATTTTAGACATTAGTGAGCTGTAATGAACTGGTATTGGCCATTATGAATCTGACAACCACATGGTTTACTATGCCGGAAATGACAAATTGAATAGGAATGGTGCTGCATTCATTGTCAAAAGAATATATCCAGATAAATCATAAGGTACAATGCGGTCTGTGATAGGATAATATCCATGCGCCTACAGGGAAGCCCAGTTAATACCACTATTATTCAAATTTATGCACCAACCATTCTAGCCAGTGAGGATGAAATAGAAGAATTCTACCAACTTCTTCACTCTGAAAATGATCTAACATGCAATCAAGATGTACTGATCACCTACTGATGAAGATCAAAGAGCACAGCCTTCAGTATGGATTACATCTCAATGTTAAGAAAACAGAAATCCTCACCACTGGACCAATAAACAACATTCTTATCAATGGAGAAAAGATTGAAGACTTCAAGGACTTCATT